CTCGATGATCCCTCCAGCGTCGGCGCCCAGCCAATCCCGTGCGTCCGGCAAGGCGCAGGGCCGCGACGAGCCACAGGCTCCTTTGGAGTAGGAGTGGTGGCGCCCTGATATGCAGCTGCCGCGGCGGTCACTGCTGACTCCCTGGATCGGCGTCGCACAGCAGGCTGCCCCGCTGGTCGCTGATGCCTGCTATTGCCAGGATTGGGGTCATCCGGGCTTTTCCTCTTCTTCTTTTTAGGCGGTGGCGCAAGCTGATCAGGACCGGTTGACTTAGGATTGCTCGAAGAATTCGAAGATGCAGACACAAATATAGGCTGATCTTTCTTTGGCCTAGTCCTCGGCTTAGGAGGAGGTGCCCTTGGCGTTGCCCCTGCAGGTGCCCACGGCGCATAGCGCGCGGGCCCTCTGTCAGGGTTGAGGCCCCCCCCCCGTCAGACTTTCTGAATGCCACATTCCCGATAGTAGCCTTGCCCCTAATGGACAGGTTCTATTTGTTAGCGCAAAGCATTTCGACAACAGTTGTCTTTACCCAACCTACAGATCCAGCGCGGTTGGCGACTCTTCTTCCAGGGGGAAGGTCCATGTCTTCCGCGACGATGTCCATCGGATCAATGGGGGTGTCCGCATCGCAAGTGACGTCCGTGACAGTGGAGAGGGCGTCGGAGTAATCCGAGAAGTACCCTGGAGGGGCCTCTGCTGTAGGGCCCACTGATTCGGCCAATTCCTCAGCTTCATCATCTTCTTTGCCGGTCATCATCTTCTTGTCTGGACGAAGCAGATCTTCCCGCATGCCACTCGCGATTGAACATCTTGAAGTTACGAGAAGGAGAAAGGTTCTCCCATAGAGCGTTAGCACTGGCTTTTTCATGATCTCTGGCTGTCTCTTAGTCTAGGTGCGTCAACTGCTCGTCGAGTGGTGTTTTGTTCGGATCGGCGCAGCGATTCCGTCCTGCGGGAGTTGGGGCTCTTTGATGGGCGCCTCATCGGGCCGCGGAGTCTATGGCCGGCGTACTCGAAACAGGTGCAAACAACACCTCCGTAAAGTTTTCGTTCTTCGATGATGGCCCTCATTGAACCCCGCTGTTCAAGGGCCCATAGTGTTTTGACAACCTTTTCTGTTCGAGCGAATGGCTTTGCCTTCGTCATCTCGTTTAACGTTGTGAAGAGAATGCCGGTGGCGGGTCTGATGTTCGGTATAACCTCGGTCCTGGTAATATCGCATCGCATCGGGATCTATGTGCTGGCGAGCCAATGCAGCACTCTTGCGGTCAACAAGGCGCTGCATCTCGCCCTCTGGGTATTCTTCTTGAGGATATTCCTTTTGATGCGGGTGTCCCCGCAAGCGCTCCTTCCTCGGTGGGGCATCAGGTCCACTGCCCCTCCCTGGATGGGGCCCTTGGGGCCCTCGCACCAGGAGGATGAGGGCGCTGAAGGCCGCTAGAGCGAGCGCCGCTGGAGCACGCGCGCGCAGGTTCGCGCGATCCACTGCGGACCCGACCGCGACGTAACAGATGTGGGCCAATTTCCCACTCTTCGTCATCATCGTCAGCGCAGTACGTGCGTCTCCAGGTTTGACGGCTTGCCGATCGCTCCTGGCGGCTCAGGGAACGCTCCGCAGCTGCGAATGCATATTGAAGTCCTTCGTAGTGGCCGAGCCCGTCCTGGATGCGCTCTGACAGATCGCCTGTATCTCGCGGCCTTTTCCGCAAATGGCCAATGTTTGCCGGATTGCCAATAACCCGAGGATAGGGCATCAATTGTATTTCCTCTTCTGTCGCAAGAGTGGTGGCTTCTGAATCAACGGGCGCCCCCGCCATTTCGCGATCTGCTTCGGCGGGCGCATGGAAATTCTTGACCAATTCAATATCGGAAGGTTGCCCCGCGATGGGCATGCCCAGCCAGCCTGCCAGGTCGCTCTCGCTGTGGCCAGCGAATATCTCCTCGAACGCCTCGTCGGCATAATTCTCGAGGGAAATACCGGCACTCCAAAATTTGGCAGCCATGAAGTTAACATTTGCAACTGAGCGGTCGGCAGGGTCGGTTAAACGTGTCTCCCAATCAACAAACTGCATGTCCGAATCAGTTTGAGCCAAATGCATCGACGGACCTCTGCCTCTCCCATCGCCCCGAGGGCACTCACGGCGAAAATGATGCGTGTTATGGCAGATCTCACATTCCATTGTTTTACCGTAAGCATCCTTCGGGTTGCCCCGACGTCCCTTACCTGTTCCTGAAGTGCGCCGAGGGCTCCTGTCTGCAACTCTTCATACTGCGGACCAGTAAAGGATGCTAGGAATGCTAACACACCTCTGCCATGCAGTCGCCGTCGTTTGCCTTTACCCTTGCCTCGACCCTTGCCCTTTCCCCTGAGTGCCCGTCGGATAGTACGTCGTACCTTGCGGACTGGCTTCTTCATCAATCGCCTCCATCGGCGCTTGTGTTTCTGATACCCTAAGAATATCCATTGCGCCTGTTGTTCTTCCGTGAGGTACGTGGGCATGTCGGAGTGGTCTAGGGCAGTCGCCTCGTCGTCTGAAGACGCGCCGGCGTCGGTTCCAGAGTCGAAGTCGGATTCGGCAGGTTGCCCCGATGAGCCTATTAGGGCAGTGGCTTGAGTAGGGGCCGCCGCATCAGGCGGCCCCCGAAACCTGGCCCAGGAGTCTTGCAATCCCGAGGCCGAAGCACCATTTTGAGTTAATAGCGCGGTGGTATCCGTCGGTTGCGGATCGTCGTTCCAGACGTTAGTGGCGGGCTGCCCTGCGTTAGCCTCAGCGTGGAAGGTCTCGGCGCGGTGACCGTGACTGAAGATGCTACCAATATTGCCAGGGGTTATATCAGCAATGTGGGCATATGACCTCACGCGTTCAAGCAGAGAGTCAAGTTGTTGCTGGCCCCTCGGAATGCGGTGGTTCAGCGGCTGTAGGAGTTGTTGCGCACGCGACGTCCCCACTCCTAGGACTCTGAATAGAATGACTGCTAGAATTTGGACATTGGGGATGTTAAAGCCTGCCGCCTCAGCTTCATAGCGGGTTATCTCGAAACGTGCCAAAGTCTGGTCGATCCGTTTTCCCGCATGGACTCGGCAGTCAATGAGAGCTGCGCCAGAGTTAAATTGGCGTTCCTCTTCTAGGTTCTCGAACTTCGTGCTTCAGAGGAACATGATGTAGGTGACGCCATCGGCATGGCGACCACCTATGTTCACGCCGAAATTGATAACTGCTGGGGGAACTCTCATGGCTATGGTCCGCGCGAGGCCTCCCAAGCCTCGTTGCAGTGCTGCAGCTTGTTGGGAGAGCGCCATGGTGCCTGTGGTCACGTTGATCCAGGCGTGCACCTCGCGAGCGAATTCGCGGAAAGGTACTCAACCGGCCGGCTCCCGATGGGGGCCTCCTGTTCTTGTGTCGTCTCCGCCGCGCGCCCGATAGCAACCCATATGAGCCCAAAGGTAGCTATACCAATCCAGTGGCCTCGTAGGTCGTAGTCAGATGTGGTTGGTTGGGGTTTGTGGTGTGTGGTCGTAAGCCTGCGCGGGGGTGGAGGCGGCGCAATGTCGTATCGCATGTTTCCATGCGTTGTGTCTTCGAAGAAGTTTCCAAGTGGAGTAGGTGGGTGGAAGTCAGGAGTGCAGAAGCGCAGGGATGTAGGACTCGAGTAAGAGGCCTCTGCGTGGGCAAAGGTATCACTGCAAGTGTCCTTGCGGCTGTGCGTAGTGATGTACATTCCTCCGCGCAGACCCACTGCACCTTGATGTTCCACCATGTCAGCAGTCCACCATATAGTGCCGTGGATGCTGAGGAGTAGAGCAAGAGCTGACCACCATAGGCCAGCTCCGCTACCAAGTTTGAAAAGGGCTGGGAGGCCCAACCAGCAGCTTCGCCTTAAGCGAAGCCCAGCTACAGCTCTGTTGTACCGTAGTAACGATAGTCCCAGTAGTAGGAGATCGTCGCGGGAGCGACGAGCCATCTCAAGCAAATGATATTTTGGTCTCGATGGCAAATGTTACACCTCACGCTGAGGTGTAGTCAGATCTGCGCGGCTGGCCGCTTGAGCCAAAATGGCCGCGGACACACGCTCGTTACCTCTCGCCTGTATCCCAGCTCACTTTAGAATCAAGAAGCCACCAAAACGCACCCAAGGGGACACCAGGACGGCCCAAGAGGGCGCCGAGACGCCCCGATAGCCCCCCAAGACAGCCCAAGACGGGCCCAGGAGAGAGAAACCGAACTGGCTTTCGGAGCCTCTTCTTCCTAAGAGGCCCAATGAAGCCTGCAGAGGCCAGAAGACGCCCGCAAGAGGCCCCAAGAGGTCCCCAGGTAGCTTTCAAGAGGCCTCCAAGAGGCTCCCAAGAGAGGCCCCCAAGAGGCCCCAAGAAGCCTCCCCAAAGCCTCCAAACCAGAACAGGCCGCCAAAAAGCCTCCAAGAAAGATGGCAGAAGGGCACTGCCGGCGTTCTACGTGGTTCCTCCCCAAGAGCCCCCCAGAGGCCCCCAAGACTGCCCCGGAGCCGTTCGCCTCCAAGATATACCCAAGGGCACCCAAAAGACCCACGACATGCCTCAACCAATATCTGGAGAAATCCCCCCGGAGGGCCCTGAGACGACTCAGCGACGGACGCATCTTTCACGTCAAGGCCCCCGCACCCAAACGGCTCAATGGCGGCCACAGCCCGGAAGCCAAGGCTCCCAAGAGGTCTAGGTGGCGGAGAATCTTGATTTAGGCGAGTCTGTGACGTCAACCGGTTTGAACTTCGCATCAACGCTGACGTCTCCTCCACCGCGCGCACCAGTCCCCGAAATCCAAGTTGTCCTCTGACAAGGCTCCGCGCCGTGCGAAGCGCATCGAATGCATTCCTCGAACTGCTGCTCTTCTTTGTTGCGAGCACTTGGCTTACCTGTGGGCCACTCGTTGAGGACACCTTGCGGGACGCTTCCAATCTGCAGTCGGAGAAATCCCGAGGGCTCCAGGGGGTCGGCGGTGCGGCGTAATACGCCTTATGATCAGGATGAGGCGCATGAGGACGATGGCGGTACGCGCACACAGCGGCTGGCGTTGGCCCGAACGCTGCGCAAAAGCAATCCGACCGATGGCCGCATCGACCGCCAGAGCGGGTGGGACATGCTTGATACGATACCTCACGGGAAGACACGGGAAGATGGGGCGCTCTTCAAAAGCAATCCTACCGATTACCTCACCTACCGCCAGAGCGGGTGGGACATGCTTGGCACGATGCCACACAGGAAGATGGGACACAGGGGGAGGAGGACGCGGCACTGGGGGAGGCCAAGGGATGGAGATCAGAGGGGAAGAGGGGGGGTCGGGCGGGAAGGGGGAGCTGGGAGAATAATGAGGGGAGGAGCAGACGAAGAGGGGGGAGGGAGCGGCAAGAAGGAGGACGAGGAGGAGGAGGAGGAGGAGGCGGCGGAGGAGGAGGAGGACGACGACGACGACGACGGCGAGAAAGGGAAGAGGTAACGAGGAACAGGCGGTTCACCACGACGGAAGCATGTCCCGAGAAAAACGGGCCGTCGGCCCTAGGGCCGTCCCCAAGCACCAGCTCTGCATCCTGGGTGGCGCTCTCTGTCGGCCACACGCAGAGGCGGCTGGGGGGAATGGGGAGGGATTCTTATCCTCTTTCTCCTCCTCCTCCTCCTCCTCCTCCTCCTCCTCCTCCTCTTTCTCCTCCTCCTCCTCCTCCTCCTCCTGGGCCTCCTCCTCCTCCTGGGCCTCCTCCTCCTCCTCCTCCTCCTCCTCCTCCTCCTCCTCCTCATCATCACCTGTAGAACCAGGGCGGCCGGCGCCTTCCAAGAAGCAACCTCCTTCTAAGAGGCCCTCCCTGGGAAACCTCCCAAAACGGCGGTGCCGCTACTCCCTGGACCTCTCCCGGGGTGCGCTCTGACCGGCATTTCCGGAATCCAGCCGTGGCGACGAGGGCCTCCCAGGAGGCCCGAAAAGGGGAAAAAGGAGAGAAGGGCAGCGGTATCGTACCTTTGCCTCCTCTGACTCCCCCCGCCCCCTCCTCGCTCCTCCTCCTCCTCCTCCTCTCGCCTCCTCCTCCTCCGCCTCCTCCTCCTCCTCCTTCCTCCTGCTCCTCCTCCTGCTCCTCCTGCTCCCTCCTCCTCCTCCTCCTCCTCCTCCTCCTCCTCCTCCTCCTCCTCCTCCTCCTCCCCCCTCCTCCTTCTCCTCCTCCTCCTCCTCCTCCTCCTCCTCCTCCTCCTCTCATCTTCCTCCTCCGACGACAGATGCACAACGAGGCTGTGTCCTCTGAATATAGAACCCTGTTTGGTGCACTCGGTATCAGAAAGAGTGCCTGGAGTCCTGTGAGCGCAAGGCCACGGATATTAACAACAACAACAACAACAACAACAAATCATTTTACCCGAACGCTCAGTGTTCTCACCAGTGCCAGGGTTTTCATACGACGCCCGCCAATACCCCCACTTTGTGGGGGGGCCGGTTCAAGCTCTACCACATTTCCAAACGACTCTTCGCCACCACCCACACCCAGCTTCCCGCCCTATGACGTTCGGACACTTCACTTCGTGGCATGCGGACGACCGTGGCTACTACATTGGCGCATGGTTTCAATGACTTATTTGACATGTGTCCCGCATGGTATTATTTGACAGGGATGATGGCCCTGGCAGGTGCGCAACCGTTGTTGCAGAAGTTCGAAAAAGTTGCTCGCAAAACCCGTTTGACAGAAATGATTAAAACGTGTTGGGTTTCCTACGAATCCGCAAGAGCGCGCGGGATGAATTTTTGACATTTTTTTTTTGAAAAACCATTGGTTTTTTGATGTTTTTATGTTAAAATCGCTACGAACACTAAGGTTTTGGAAGGATTTCGTCTTGCGCGCGCGAATGTCCACTTTACCTTATTTTTTGAAGCTTGAGAGGTCCCCAAGATCGCCCCAAGACGGCCCAAGAAGTTTGAAAAGGGGTTGGGAGGCCCAACCAGCAGCTTCGCTTTAGGTGAAGCCCAGCTCCAGCTCTGTTGTACCGTAGTAGCGATAGTCCCAGTAGTAGGAGATCGTCGCGGGAGCGACGAGTCATCTCAAGCAAAGGATGCTTTGGTCTCGATGGCGAATGGTACACCTCGCGCTGAAGTGTAGTCAGATCTGGGCGGCCGGCCGCTTGAGTCAAAATGGCCGCGGACACACGCTCGTTACCTCTCGCCTGGGAGAGGGAGACGAAGCGTGAGCCCGCCGCTTCTCTACAGACGGTACAGCAGCTACCTACAGCAGCTACCATGTACAAAAGGGCAGCAAAAGGGCGGGGCCGGAAGGAAGGTGGACCCGCACGCAAGTTGCCGCGCCTGCACGTTACTGTGCATACGAGTACTCCTCAGGCGGCCGCAGACTAGGATGTCTGGCCAGCCCGATAAAGAGTATGACGCTTTAAGTCATGCTTGAAGGATCGCGTGCCTCCCATGACCTGTAGGAGCATGTCTCAGTCGATCAGTCGATGCTCCCTTTTGTGCGACCATCCGCGGTCATGTCGCGGGTGCCACACCACTGGATACTACGCGCTGTTCCTCGCTCCATCATCTGAAATATCCAACGGATGTGTCCTAAACGGGTACACTCAGTCGGCTTCTTCAAGTCTTGCTTGACAATGACTTAAACACAGACTCAGCATCTATGGTCAAAGTGACCTTGATGCTCAGGCTACCCAACTCAAGTATATCTTTCAACTGAGTGGGAGTCAGCGGCCCTGCGTGGAGCAAGTGCAGAGTCACGATCGTGGGATACCAGTCCTCCAAGTTGCGGGCTGCTGCTAGCGTCTCTGCTGGATAGCTCGAGCGGACCTGCGAGCGATGATGCAGTACGCATCGATCAAGTGAACGACAGGCTTGCCGGACGGCGTGTTTCCACGCCGTAGCAGGCCTGCCCCGCGAATACCATAGCCTTTGACTTCGTCATCAGCATCTCCACTCAGGCGTCGGCACCCTGAGTCGCTGTGCAGGTCGACTTCGCCCGTGGGAGTCATCGCATGGTAGACGATCTTCTTAGGGCAGGCCTGCAGCTTCCTGGTGGTCGCGTTCAGTCGTCGCACTTGCATATTGGTCGGTTCTTGGACACGTTGGAGAGACACTACATATACCATCAATCACACCTGGGTGATTAATGCATAAGCCAATGCGCCTCTGAGGCTGACGAACATATCTGCAACCATCCTGGATGCCTTGGCGCCAGCGTCGGCGCATGGTAATTCAGGATGTTGTATAGGGCGGAGCTGTTTGATGCATTCGTCTTGGTCCAACGTAACGTTGCCGTCCTCACCCTTGGTATGCCTCACAACACAATTGGTATATGTAAGCTTGCTGAGTTTACACTTACCAAACGTGTCCTCTACGCACTTGTCGTGCTTGTCAATGGTGTCCTCAGTACCGGCCATATTGATATCACCAAGATGTTTGGCTGTGAGCAGGTTACTGCTTGTCTTGTACTCCTCGTCGTAGGACGTGGGTCTCAGACCGAAGTCTCTCGTGACCTTTCTGAGCTCTAGTGAGAAAGCTCGAGTTGCGTCCTTGGTGCAGGTACCTGGCTTGAGGCACTGCAAGCTGTGCTTCGACTCGTCGCAGAGCTCGAACCCTGGGCGGGATCGAAGCACCGTAGCCGATCCAGGCGTCAAAATAAAGCGCACCATGCGTTCTTTCTCACCAGTTGCCTCAGCAAGTTCCTGGTAGGTCAACCCTTGCAGGAGGGCCATGTTGACGTTGAGGGAAACAATGATCCGTTGCTTATTGCGCGCTGCCGCGCTTGCGAGTAGCCTCTGACCTGACCGCCGTGCTGTCCTTGAGAAGGTTTCCGCGTCGAAAGTTTCAGTTCAAGGCCCATGAAACCCCGAAGTACCAGGCGCAATCTGATGGCGCGCTCCATCTCGCCCCTCTCGTTCTTCGCGAACTCTCAGTTTATGCACATACCTCGAAGTCATGATGTTTGACGCTTTGGATAGGTCCTGCATGTTGAAACACTTGTTGTGCAACCATGTCTGGAGCTCAGTGCACAGGGCCTCCGGTACTTTCTCGGGATTCGCCTGGGCGCCGGCCTTCGCGAGGAGGTCGTCTTCTTTGACGACCGCGGCTCGCTTTGCAGCGGCGGTAACATATGCTCGCATGGTGGTCACGCGGTCGACATCGAATATCCTGGGTCCTTGCCTCTCGGGCTGGAGACGGCGACGCCTCTGCAGGCCCGCCACCTCTCTCTTCGTCTCCATCGGCCCTGCGGCCCAAAGGTGAAGCCAAACGCTCCTGCGAGCGGTGGCGGCCGCGCTCCTGCGAGCGCTGGGGCGGCGGCCGCAGGTCGGCGCGGGGGCGGCGGCGGCGGCGGGGGCGGGATCGCCCCCGCGGGCTGCCGCTGCGGCGGGGCGGCGGCATGGCTGCCGCCGGGGGGGTCCCAAAGTTCAAGGACCAGGGGGTGGGGCCCTGGCCCTGACGCTTTCCCGAACCCTGCGGTTCGAACCCAAAACATGCGGCGACGAGGAATGCATGCACAAGGCAAGCAACGCAATGACCTGCGAATGCGTGAACAACGCAAGCAGCGCCAACTGCCACAACACGAGAATGCATGCACGTGACATGTGAACAACACAACAACGTGAGAATGCATGCAGAGGCCCCCCGTGACTCTCCCTACGTTTTCTAGTGGAGTTGCCTCCAGTAGTTCCCTTTCATCATGTAGTTCTGTATACAGCACTTCCATAATATGTGCCTCGAGGTCCACCTCCGATTCCTCATATATCGTGGGAAGTCGTCCATCCTCCTGCGGTGGTTCGGCTTCTGGGGCTTCTCCGGCGGTTCCGTCTTGTGTCAGTATATCCGCCAGTTCCTCGAACTTTGTCATGTCTTGGTCAAAGCCCGCTTGAGGTTTGGTGGACTTCAGGCACTGGATGATTCTCGAATGTGCTGATCCAGTTATGTCATGAATATTGAGAGCGGTGCCTTCTGCTTCGTAGTAATGAATCCCGGACTCACATCGTTGTCATAGTGGACCAATGTGAAACTGTCAGCGCAAGCCACTGGAGGTAGCTCGTGGATACTCTTTGCCAACCTAACACAAACTACGTTCTCGATGCGGAAGAAATT